TGTAATTATGAACGTAACTTGAGCCTTGTCATTTTTCCTTTCTATTCTTTAGAATAGCACACTTCTAATACTAATGTTGCAGTATGTTTAAAAAGCTGCTTCTTTCTGGTCTTTCTGGGTATCCCATCCTCATTCCTATTAAAGTTGTCATCTCCAGAACATGGACTTGGCAAATGCCAGAAGTGGATCGTTGATATTTCCTTAAGAAGCAGGAAAAATAAGGAAGAATGTTTTGCTTTTCAGGCTTGTTAGCAAGAAAACACAATGACGGCATCATCCCCATCGCCCCAGAGGCACTGTGATTTAAATCCATCGACTTCTGTAAAATGGAAATATTCACTTATTTGAGCAAATGAGTGTAATTAAAGTTGTTCAGAAAACATGCTAATGCTCTGTGCTGACACATACCCTCTTCAAAACTGGGCTCTGAGGGCAGTGCTTGTGGCTCAGTGGGTAGGGTGCTGGCCCCATATACCGAGGGTGGCGGGTTTGAACCCAGCCCCAGCCAAACCACAACAACAACAACAACAAAAATAGCTGGGCATTGTGGCAGGCACCTGTAGTCCCAGCTACTCGGGAGGCTGAGGCAAGAGAATCACTTAAGCCCAGGAATTGGAGGTTACTGTGAGCTATGATGCTGTGGCACTCTACTGAGGGTGATAAAGTGAGACTTCGTCTCTAAAAAAAAAAAACAAAAAACTGGTCTCTGAGTTGTTCCAAATGACAAATGCCTCCTTTTGAGGTGTTTTCTGTGGTTTTACACTTGCAGTGGAAGACACTTTGCACCACATCCTGGCCTCAGTAGCTCTTGTTCACATTCAACACCCGCACACGTCTATTCACCTTCCTCTACCTTCACTGTGAGAGTCACAGCTGGGAATTACTAAGTGAGCATTACTTCGTTTACTAGGGCAGTAGCCAGGTAACCAGTTATTTGAATAAAAACAGAATACTATGAGCACTTACTCCAATAATCTCTGTTTGGCTTCATGTCATGATTCAAAACTACCAATGACATTGATGAGCATAAACCAGAATAAAACTCTCCATTACCCAAAGTTCTGAATGTGTGTGTTCTCATTGTAGACCCATGGACTAGGCTGCAGGGAGAACAAAGGCCGGCATGCCCTGTCCTCCCAAGATGCAGGCTCCTGGGACTCCCGCACATCAAGCGAATAACTCAAGGCACCTGCAAGAGCTTCATCGTGCATGCAGCGGGGCCTCCCCTCGACACAAAGCTGGGCATTCCAGGCAGAAGGGAGACTCTTTGGGGTCACAGAGCTGGGGGAGGTAGAGGGCTAGGCCCGGGGCCAAGGAACACTTTGGGGGAATAACACAGAACAAGGCTCCTGGGCACACAAAAGCTTGATAAGGTCAGGTCCTGAGAGACCCAGCCAGATCTCACACTCTGCGTTGCAGTCAGCGGCTGCCAATGGCTGGGCTCAGGGTGCCCTGGGAACCACCTACGTTATAGGGAAAAGGGGATGCGCACACCCTCCCATGGGTCCAGCAGGAGGTGCCACCCACTTGCATAGATAGTGGCAGTCTGCATTTGAATCCAACACTCACTGGACCAAATTCTTCACAAAACTACTCTGAATCACTACCCAATTTAATTTGCTTAGTATTGGTCTTTTAAGATTTGTCATCTGTAATGTGTGCATGCAAAGACAGAAAACATCCCTAAAATCCATTATGCCATGTAATAGACACAGCATCACATGCACGGCAGAAAATCATGCCACATGTGTTTGTGTGTACATGTATATGTATTAAGTGTATAATTCTTCCTAATACTTTTACTGATGGAGACTTTCAAATATATGTGAAGGAGGAAAGAATAGTAAAATTACTCCCATAGCCAGGACCCAGCTCCAACGCCCTCAGCAGTGGCCCTGCTGTGTCATGTCTGCCCTGCTGTCTGCCACCACACCCTACTGGAGAAATTTTGAAGTAAATCCCTCACATGGTTTCATCCATAAATATTTCAGATTTTTTTATAAAAAAATAAGGATTCTTTTTCTGTTTAACTTAACAGTAATAACATACCACATGGAAAAAAATGTAACAAGTATTCTTTGAAATCATCAAAATACCCAGTCAGTGTTTACATTTTTACTTACTCGGTTCACAAGTTTTTAAACTGCCTGAAACTGGAACCAAATCAAGACCCCTCAACTGCCTAAAGTGTCGCGACTTCCCCTTTTGCCTGCAGGCTCCTGGACTTCACATGCTTTTGTCTCTTGAAATTTCTGGCACCTATGGAGCCCCTGGCCAGCACTGGGGAAAGCACTCTCAGTGCCAGGGCCTCTGCAGCTGCACCCGGCTAAGGTGGCAATCAGTCTCAGTTGGTTTTCCTGGCAACAATGCTTCTTCCCCAGAGATGTGAAATGTTGGCCTGTGTGTTTAACTTGAGTAAAACCAATGCGAAACAGCTTGGAGTCATGCCTGAGGGTAGAGACAGACACCTTCTTGCAAGGACTTCACAATTTCACATTGCTTCGAAGTTCACAAATGTACAAAATTAAAAATGCATTTGCTGCCATGCCTCCCAGAAACCCCAGGGTAGGATGTGGATGACCACAGCAGGGTCTACTTGTCTCTGGAAGCAGTCAAAGAGCCAGGGAGCAGGGGCTACCAACCAACAGCAGCAAACAGGAACCACCCACCTCCTGAGCGCCAAAACATGGCAGTGGCAGCTATGACCCCCTGAACAGGAGGTGATGCAGAAGTCTGCTCAGAGGACATCAGGGAAGGCCCATCATGACGGGGAAAGCCGACTAATATACACAGGAGTGTCAGAACTAGAAAGTCACCAAAAGACAGCTATTTAATAATGAGATTCTTTGTACTACTCTTGCAACATTTCTGGGAGTAGAAATTGTGTCCAAATGAAAAGTGAAAGGAAAAAAAAAAATTAAGGAAAGGACGTGAGATTCACCTCCCCTGGCAAACGGTCCCAGGAAGCCCCAGGGAAGTGTCTCCAGCTCTGAAGGCGGCTCTGACAGAGAAGGTGGTGTGGCCCTCCTGTCCTGCCACCAGCTCTGGGGTCCTTCGTGCCTCTCTCCAGATGCCAGCCACCCCCCACACTTCTCGGAACTGGGAAGTACAGAGCACAGCCGAGCAACACTCCTGGTGTTCTTCCCTCACCAAGTGCCTTGACTGAGCCTTTCTTCTTCATTCCTTCCTCTTGTGGAGAGAAAACCAGCATGGCCTGGAGAACCTGACCTAAAGCTGCTCGTGGTGAGCATTTTTGGTGTGATGAGTCCTGGCTGGCCTATCCACCAAGGATGGCCATCAGAGGGCTGTTTACCACTTGCATGCATGTGGCATAAACTCTGGTAGATGAAGGACCATCTGAGCTCAGATGAAAATGTCACAGTTGGAAGGGACCAAGGGTACCACATCCGGCAGAGAACTGGGAGTCCAAAGCTGAAAGTTCTAAGTCACTAGTTTGCTCCTTAAGCCATGTCACTTGCCCAGATGAAAGATAAATTTATTCCCTGATTTTTATAAGAAGGTTGGAGAAGATGAAAGTGAAGTCATATTTAGGTACTTTATAATTCTTGCATGGAATGGGCTTCACAAGAGTCCAGCATGTTACATGTTCTTGGAAACAGATGAGCCACTGGATTATAAGCCATGTCAGACAACTTCCAGATGAAGTGAGCTGTTGGCAGTGATGTCATCAGCACGGGCAGCTCTATTTAACAAACACACTCCAAGCCAACAGGGTGGACCTGGGCCCTCCTGTGCAACCCACATGTCAGGTTGCCCTCACTCTCCAGGTCCCACCAACTCCTAAAAGGAATGTGAAGACCATCATGTTATTCCAGAACTTGCTGCAGCTTTCTGCATAGACAGGGGAGGCCAAGCCCCCAACTCCCACTCCACCTCCCCCACCCCATGACATCTCTGCCTGATGAATCTACTGCAAGAGAAGTCTGCCTTTAAGTCGTTTCTACAAACGACAAGTGGAGTTGGTCCCAGGGCCAGGATGGGCCTGGGCCATGTCCCACACAGATGGAGTTGCTATGGCACTTGGTCCAATCTCACCAGTTCTTGTACACCCTAGCATGTCCACTCACACATGCAAAGATCAGAGTATGGCCTGGGATGGCACAAGGTAGCTCACTGCCTTCTTGCTGTAGTGTGGTTGGTGCAGGAAGCCCCCCTGCCGCCTGTCCCACCTACCCCCAGAAATGAGCTGTCAGGGGCTCCACATGGACTGTCATCGTAGGAGCTGACAAATGTGCACCAGGGATGGGGTCTATTAAATCCCCCTGACCATCTTGGCTATAAGATGCTGAGGTGTCTGCCAAATAATGATTAATAATTAAACAGAGTGGCATCAGACTGCCAGTATTTGAATGTGGCCCCACCATTAAGGAGCCTAAGCAAGTAATTCCACCTCACCAAGCCTCAGGTTCCTCACCTGTAAGATGGGAATCAGAACAGCACCTGCCTCACAGGACCTTGCAGGATTGATAATTCTTGGGCAAAGAGCAAGGAAGCTGGCACAGAGCGCTTTTGTGATTATGGCTGTCTATACCACCACAACTAAGGAAGAACGGGAAAGCAACTAACTTATAAAAAATTAACTAGAAATAACCTCAAAAACAAATGCCTAAGTATTATCCTAAGAAAAGGCCATTGCCATGATGATAAAAAGTGCCTGGTGGGCATTTGACCCCAAATGCGGCATTGTTCCAGTCCTCTGAGAAACACCGCTGGGAAGGAGAGTGGCCGCCCCATCTTGCAGGACCAGGCCTCAGGCTCCTGGGTGTCCACAGGGCGCTTCCCCAGCCACCTGCTGCTCCCTATCTCCACATGCAGCTGGGGCTCCCTGATGGAGGCAGAGGGACAAGGAAAGCTGCTCTTAATGGATCTGGTGACACCAGCAAAGACTTTAGAGAGGAAGCCAAAGCTTCTCTGTCCTTGAGATCTCGGGCAGGGGCAGCGCGTGCATGTCCCCCAGCAGGCAATGTGGAGCCTTCTGGTTGTCATTCATAAAATTTATTCTGCAAAAATACTTTAAAAAGGAATTTCTTCATTAACAAAACAGTAAAAAATTCAAATAACATTTTCACAATATTCCATAAATACATTTATATACAAAAAATATAGTAACATAGACCGAAGTGCCTTTGTACATATTTACCAAAATTTAAATTATAAGAAAATGAACATCACAAAATACTCAAGCTTTACAGATACCATGAAAAATATTTTTACAAATCCAAAAAATAACACACATTTTTTCCATCTAGAAAAAACACATTTCAGTATCAAAAAGGACAATAAAGGCAGTGTTTGTGTTTCTAATTCAAGAAAAGACTGGCTCATAAGAATCCAAAATATACACTCCAGGCAGTGCATGCTCTCACATAGTGATTAAGTCCATCCATTTAAATATATATTCTCTTAAAAGCAACTGTCCATAGTGCAATGGGGACGTCGAAGGCAGTGCGGCAGCGTCGCCTTGCTAACTCAGGAGAGAACCAGCTCAGTCTGAATTCAGTTTCTCAGCAGCAGTCCACGGAGGGCCTCCCTTTCCTCTTTCAGCAGCATTCGTTGGGGCATATATCCTTGGAATTTTATTTATTTAAGAGAAACGGGAATTTTGCCATGTCACTTCCATTTTATACCTAGAGGGGCCCACAAGAAGGAATGGGAAGTTAGCACCAGGCTTGTGTTCCCTGGCCTCTGCTCTCCCCTCCTGAGGACACTGGTGGCGGCCGGGCGGCACTGACCTCAGTTGCTATGACACATTCGTCCTTCCCCTCAGACAAGACGTACACCGACTGGTACTTGGTATCTGTGGGCGCAGGGTAGACAGGGTCTGGCCTCCTTCTTTCAGATGCTTCTCCACTAAAAGGAAAATCAGAGAAAGCCTCCATAAACTTGGGGAGACACTTTAGAATAGGGAAATGACTGAAGTGTGGAAAAGACCCCCCCAAGCCCCGCCTGACAGTGCAGCACCCCCAGATGTCAGGTGCCTTCCCCAGGTGGACTTCCCCAAGCTCCCTCCGGCCAGGCCTGAGGCACGCACCCCCTGAGTGTGGTTGGGGTCCCCTTCTCCTCCCCTGAGGAGCTCTGGGACTGGCCCTTCGTGTCTCGCTTGCTGTGTGCGTCCCTGACTGTGGCTTCATCACCCTTGAGGTCCTGCACGAGGTTATAGTCCACTGTGGGGTAACGGGCCTTGAAGCCGGTCCTGTCAGTGCCATGGTCCCCACAGAAGTCCGCCTTCTTGTTGGTGTTCTTGATCTGAGTGGTGCCAATGACGCTGACTGAGATGTCCTTCTCACGCTGGCAGTTGGCCAAATTGTTCATGGTTTCTGTCTCCCCCCGGCAGGGGTCCGCAGGGGGCCTGCGCTTCTGCAGTCTCAGCCTGATGCAGACCCCCATGGCTGCGCAGCCCAGCAGCAGCACCAGCACCAGCACGGCACCAGCACACACGGCCACCCAGGGGAACGGCCCGACCTGGCCCTCCAGCTTCTCGGTGAGGTCAACCACCACCGGGCCTGGGGGCGGCTCAGGGAGTAGGAACTGGCAGTTGGGGCCCCCGTACCCCCGAGCACACTCGCACACATAGCGGCCGGCCCTCTCATGGCAGGTGGCTCCGTTGTGGCAGGGTGCGTGCTCGCACCTACTGACAGGGGCGCTGCAGTTCCTGCCCGTGTAGCCCGGGGGGCATGTGCAGGAGTAGTCATTCACGCCGTCCCGGCAGGTGCCCCCATTGGCACACGGGGAGGAGGCGCAGTCATCCATGTTGTCATCGCAGTGCCTCCCAGAGAAGCCAGCCTGGCAGCGGCACACATAAGCATCACCGAGGTCCACACATTTGGCGCCTAGAACACAGGACATGAGCACTCACTTATCTCCTCCTGAGTTTGGTCAATAAAAGTCACTTTGAAGCATCTACATGTCTGTCACCATAGACACAAGTGGTAAGAAGACGAGACAGCCTATGGTCTACATGGTCCAAGACAACACACTGCACAGCCTTAAACACAAGGTGCTGGCAGGTGTCCAGGGCTTGACCCGAAAAGCAGAAACAGCAGCAGGGCTCCATCTTTCCACCGGCTATATCTCCATGGGCACTGCACAGCACACCTCACAGGAGCACTGGATCCAGGGACTCAGGCTGCTAAGCCCAGGTTTGCTGATGGGGAAACCAAGGGTTAGAGAGGATAACACACCTTCCCGCAGTTAAAGGTGGTGAGAAAAGCAGGGCTTGAAAACAGTGAAGGAAGGGAGGGAGGGAGAAAGAGGCAAAAGACATTCTAGAGCAGTGGTTCTCAACCTTCCTAATACCACAACCCTTTAATACAGTTCCTCATGTAGTAGTGACCTCAACCATAAAATTATTTATGTTGCTACTTCGTAACTGTAATTTTGCTACTGTTATGAATCGTAATGTAAATATCTGATATGCAAGATGTATTTAGGAGACCCCTGTGAAAGGGTCATTTGACCCCCAAAGGGGTTGCGACCCACAGGTTGAGAACTACTGTTCTAGAGTATCTGGCCCACTTCTTTGTTGTGTGCTGACTTTGGACATCCAGCCTCTCACAGCGGGCAGACCAAGCTCCTCATAGTGACACACCAGACAATGATGCCAGGTGACAAAACAGAGCCCAGCTTTCCTCCAGAAGCACTATGGCTGGGCACCTTGTGAGTGGGAATCATGGGCAGGAGTATGTGACCTCCTGATCATTTTACCTTCCTGCAGAACATGAGAACAAACATGCCTGCCTGCCTTTCTCACTCCAGGCATTTCCAGACTCAAAGCCTCCACTGAGAATTCTTGACCATCTAGATAAACTCCAGGCAGTTTTCAATGCAGCACAGTCCAACACAAATTTAGGTGCTTTCCACAGTGCCCTCAGCACAGCCCACTTGACTGGTCATAGGTCACCCCCTTACCATTGGAACAGGGTGAAGAACTGCAGCGATCAATTTTCTTCTCGCAGTTGAAGCCAGAGTAGCCCACAGGGCAGCGGCAGGTGTATCCTCCATCAAGGCCGTCTGAGCACCGGCCCCCATTGAAGCAGGGGCCATCGGCACAGGTCATGGCGCTCAGTTCACAGATTTTGCCATAAAAGCCAGGTGGGCAGGTGCAGGAATAGCTGTTCTCAAGATCCTGTGTGATGGATAAAAGAAAAGTCCTTCTGAAGTTGTTTCTGGTGATGCCAGGTAACTCCACTTGATACCTGATGCTCTTCCATATGACCCCAGGTGCCTTCCCATGGGACCCCAGGTGCTTGGCTCACCGTGCAGCTCCCCCCACTCTTGCAAGGGCTGGTGTCACACTCGTCGATCTCTAGTTCACAGGTGGTACCCGTGAACCCAGGCCGACAAGAGCAGGTGTAGCTGCCCTGGCCTGTGTTGGTGCAGGTGGCCCCATTCTTGCAGGGTTTGTGGTGTGTACAGTAGTTCAGGTCTGCAAGGGTGGAGACAGCAGCAGGAGACAGGAAGCTCAGGGTCAAATTTAGGAAGACTATTTTTCTAGTGACCAAAGGGCCAGGGAAGTCTGGGCTAATCTGGGAGGGGACCAGGCGGCTTGGGGAGAGGAGCTTACCCTGGTTGCAAAAAAGGCCTCCCCAGCCTTCCTGGCAGGTGCACTGCCAGGGCTGCTGGCAGGTGCCGTGGAGGCAGCCTGGGTACCGGATGCACTCGTCGCAGTACCTGCCTTGCCAGCCTACTCTGCACCTTGGAGAGAGCACAGCAGAGTCAGAAGGACACTGGCCACTCCCGGATCGATGATGGTACATCCTCACACACTGGACAACACCTTTCCGCAGCACCACTGGCTCTCAAACTAGGCAGAACTAGATCACCTGGAGAGCTTTAAAGCATACTGATGCCTGGGTCCCAGCTCAAGGCTCTCCTCAGCCTAGGCAACTGAGGTATGCAGCAAACCTCAGAAGCCACTGAACAAACTCATCTTGTGCCTATACCTTTCACTCTGCTACCTGTAAACTCCTGTGACCACTGAGGTGCTCAGGTGAATAGCAGACACTACCAACCAAATACTGATTAGAAACAGCAGAATAACAGCCCCTTGCTCAACTAATCTTACTCAATACTGTACAAACATGCCAGGTGTAAAAGCATAACTAGAAAAGGTAAAACAAGAAAACAAAGCCAACTTTTGCAAACTTACTTGCACTCCCCTGGCTTGTCACAAAATCCATGTTGCTCATCACACCCTGGCAGGCAGATTGCTGCAAGCAAAGGGAAACCAGTTCTGGTAGGATGCCCTATCCCCATCCCTGGACCTCCTGCTGCAGGTGGGCTCCTGGCTGTGGGCTCAAACAGAACCTGTTGGCTGTGTGGTGCTGGCCACCCTGACCACAGCTCCTCCACAGCCCTGGGGACAAGAATTCTTCTTAACACAGCATTGGGGACAAAGGGCTCTCGGAAGCCCCCACCCCCACCCAGCCCCCATTCTTCTAAGAGAGGGTCAGAAGTCTTCCCCGCCTCCTCCCCCACTTCCCAATTCTCTGCACAAAGCTCCACCTCTTAATATCCCAGAAAGTGTGTGTGCAGATAAGAGTGGACAGCTGGTGTGCAGGGTGCCAGGGCAGACAGCTGCTCTATTGTCCAGCCTCCCCGGCAGCTGCCCCGGAGCAACAATGCGGCCTCCCCCACGCCCCTGTGTCCCCACCCCTCACACACACCCCTTGCGTGTACACACACACACACACACACACACACACACACACACACGTGCGCACCTTTCTACCAATAGGGGCAGGCAAGTGTCCTGCCAGCTATCCCTGGAGAGATCTAATCTATGGCACGGGCATGAGCTGGGGGCTGGGAGAGGCTCCAGTGTTTAAATAAGAAGAAAAAAGTTTAAGTTTCTGACCACCCCATGACGAAAAAGAGGAGGGGGAAATGGGGGGGGCAGCAGTGGCCAGAGGTACCCGTAGGGCTTGGACACTGGGCCAAAGCTTTGAGCTGGCTCACTCTGTCGGTTACAAAACTGATTAATGAGCAGCTCCACAAGTTTTCAAGAAAACAGAACCAACTCAGGCCAAGGCGGAGCTTAGAAGTTCAGTGGGTCCTTGAGACTTGGGAAGCTAAGCAACCAACAAAGACATGGAGGCCCTCACTGAAAGCAGAGACCCAACCTCATCTTAGGCACAGCTCTCTGAGGAACTGCACCCACCCAGCAGACCTTCTGGGCCTCAAAGAGAATGATCCAAGCTTTGCCTGCTCCAGGGCCAAGAATGGGATTCTGGGACCTACCCACCCCTTGAAGTCTGGCACCAATTGGCTGGGGTGGCCAGGTGGGCAGGTGAGTGGAGAGAGGCTTCCTAAGGTCCAGTTGAATCAAAAGCCAGGGATCCCCACGAGCCCTCCACTCCTACCTATCATGGAATTATAACATATCAAAACCTAACAATCAGGCAGGTGGAGCCTACATGGCTGTTGCAAAGACACTTCTTTTCCAGACAGGGCACTACACAAGCATTTGACCTGATGGGCTGTGCACCTATGCTACACAGGCTCTACAGACCCAGCCCCACACATCTTCCTGACCACCCAAGGGAGAAACTTGCCTTGGGACAGCATGAACTGTGTGCATCATGTGCAAGGAGTGGGAATGTACTTGCTCTGGAGAGCGTGAGCACACCAGTTCTCAGCACTGAGAAGCAGTCCCCAGGGGGATGGGTTACAGTAAAGAGGACTCTGGTGGGAAGTATGCACACACTCCCTGTTCCTCCCTTCCTTCCTCCCTCCTGCAGCCAGCACTGGATGTACTTCCTGACCCCTGGCCCTGTCTCCAAAATCCTCCCTGATGAAGAAAGGCAGTTTCCTATGGTGGACACACACTGTCATGGACTCTAAAACATCTGAGCCAATCCACCTCTACCCCTGCCTAACTGTGAAATATTAGCAAGTCATTTCTGCTCTTTGGGCCTCAGTTTCCCCTCCTGCGCTAAACCCAGGATCCCAGTCGTCATAGGAGCCCCCTGCCTGTGAGTGCTGCTGTGTGGATAGAGGGGCAGGGATGCCCAGAGCTCACGTTCTGTGCAGTAAGGGCCTTTCCAGCCGGGGTTGCAGACTTTCTCCCCCCGTTCCCCGCAGGTGAAGTGGCCGAAGGCATCGTCACGGGGGCGGCAGAAGACTGAGCAGCCCTCCCCGTAGTAGTGCTCGTCACACACGAAGCGGTAGGAGTACTTGAGGTCAGCACGGCCGCTGCTGTGCAGGTCCTGTGACCACTCCTCACCCACCGTCAGGTGCCGCTGCGTGGCCAAGCGGCTGATGAGCCTCTCTGGGTTTTCTGGGGAAAGATGCTCCTGGTGGGTTCTGACTGAACTGAACCTGGGGCTTGGGACAGGGGGCCTAAGAAAGAGGCCATGGACCCTCACCTTTCTGCGGCATGTGCAGAATAACAGGTATCAGAGTTGGTTGGGCTTGGGGCAAAAGTCAAATATTCATGCACTGGGGAAGTGGTTCCCAGTTTGGGGGTTTTGGTTTTGTTCTTACCTGTTGCGAGGTCATCTGGAGAATCTGTGTGGAGAGCTTCAATAATCAGAGAGAAGGTGCCCTGAAGGAAGCATAAGTGGGGTTAAAGTCAAAGGCTGGGTGTCTAGGGGCAGCCTCTGCACATCTTCTGCCTGTTCTCACTGTCCTTAAAGAGTAGTTTCCTGATGTCTGTCGTTTTTCAGTCTGTAGTACAGCATATTACATTTTTTTAAAACACTAGGTGGGGTGGGGGGAACGGGCGGGGCGGGACGGGCCTCAGGAGGGCCTGGGAGTGGGCAATGTCAGGCCAGGAGGGAGCTGCTCTGCTATGAAGCCCTCGGTCACCCCTCGTCACTCAGCTGGGCTGTCACCTCCCGCTGCCTTGCACATCCCTGGGTCTGCGGGTCCCCCATGGTCTACTCCCTCGAAGCCCCACAGTGTGCCTGGAGGGACACAGGTGCTGCACTCACCGGCCAGGTGAAGCCAAACGGGAAGCGGATGGGGTTGCTGAAGGCAGGGTCGGATCCCGCGCCCTCAGGCAGGCTGAAGGAGTCGACGCCCAGCACCGGCGTGACTGCGCTGCCATAGGTGCAGGGCGGCTCGGGGGACACGCTGGCCTGGTAGTGCTTGAGGCACACGCGGAAGAAGGTCCTGCAAGCGCACGGCGGCCCGGCGCCCCCGCGGCAGCAGCTGCGGTTCCCCAGCAACCCCTTCCTGTTGACGAACTCCTGCAGCTTCAGCTCGAACACCCCCGAGCTCCAGACCTGCGAGGGGGAAGGTCAGGTGCGTGAGGACGCGGGTCAGCAGGGACAGGGGTGCGTGCGGATTCTGGGAGACGCGCGCGGGGACCAAATGCACCGCAGCGCCGAGTGACCCCTGGGAGTCCGGCAGGGGAGCGCACCGCGTGTGGTGCGGGCGCTAGGGTCAACGCTCCCGGGATTCGCTGTGGGGTCGACAGTTCGCACTGTTCGTGCCTCTCTCCGCCCAGCCCCCTGTGCGTCCGGCACCTGAGGTCCCCTATCTGACCCAGCAGGTCTCAGGGTATCCCCTACAACCCACCTGACACAGCAGGGCGGAGACCACCGCGAGGGCCAGCGCGCACTGACGGCCCATGGCGCACCGCTCCACGCGCTCGCTCCTCTGGGGTCTCCTTCTTTTCTCCTCTTAAGATGCCAGGGGAAGCAAGAAGGATAAATGCGCCCCGGGGAGCGTGGACAGAAAAGTACCCTGCTTTGCTCCAAGCTGGAAAAACTAGGACTTCTTTAAGAGCCTGTCTCTGGCTCAGCCCGAGGCGGAGGCTCTTCACATCCGCCTTTGGATGGTTGACGGAGGCTCTGCAGATGCCCGAGGGAAAAAATGCTCTCTCTGGAGACTGCCAGCGGAGCCGCAACTTTCGGTTTTCCTCCTTTCTTCCAATCCACGAGTAGGTAGGATCATCGATTTCCTGGTTTTGTCTTAAGCTTTTTCTCAGAGAGGGGCAGAGAGCGAACGAGAGGAAGAAGAGGGCAAGGTAGTCCAGAAATTCGGCTTAATTCCCAAGAGAGCCGCTACGGCTTCTTCCCGAGGCCGATTAGAAAGCCGAGGTCTGGAAATCCCACAGGCTAGGCGATAATCCTGGGCCCCGGCGGAGCGCGCAGAGTCTGTCGGCTGCGGGCGGTGTCGCGGTGAGCTGCGAGTGTGCGCGGCGCGCCCCTGCCGATCGTGGCCCGGTGTCACTCCGCGGCGGCGGCCGTTCCGGGAGCTCTCTGGACTCCTGTCTCCTGTGCCACCACGGAGATACGCGTCTTCCGGATGAATCCAGCCACTGCCATCCAGTAAACACGCGCAGGATGAGGGCCCGGCCGTGGTAGGCGGCTCTGCACCGCGGAGGCCCGTGCTCTTGCGGCGCTCGGCCCTTGGCCGCGCGGGTCTCCGCGGGTGCGCGCCGAGGTCTGGCTCTCGCCGGCGCCCGCCGCCCTTATATCCAGCCGGCCGCCCGCATGGCTAATGAGATGCAAATGAGCAGCCCCCCAATCTGGCGAGAGCTGTCACAAAGGAGCCACTTTTCCAAACCCTCCTCTGAATGGATCGCCAAATGGTCAGTGAGCTGTAAAATGTGCAACCCTCCTCCCCGCCCCCACTCTTCCCCACCCCCAGTCCTTCCCTGCCCCCGCCTCCACCCCCACCCCCTCCTTCCTTCCTCGCAACACAAAACGCACTCATTTACATTCCTGCAAAATGTTCACCGCAAGAATCCCCTCTGCTGCTGGAACCGATGCCGCCTCCCCGGCCTCTCCGCGCTCCCGCCCCGGCCACAGACTCTCAGAGACCCACGGCAGCGCGCGAGGGTGGCGCTGCGCCTCTGGCCCCGCCGACAACGGCCCAACTTGTGGGGTTGGACGCGGCCTCCACAACTCTCCCAGGCCGCGGCGCTCTCGGACCTGGTTTCCCAGTGCCTTCCGCGGCCCGGGGGCACGGGGCGGGGGTTGAAGAGGGGTGCGGGAAACGAAGTTAGAGATCCGCGTTCTCAGTGGGCCGCCTCTTCTTCAGGGCAGGCTCTTCCTAAGGAGGAGTCTCCAGGGGCGGAGGCGGGGGGTGGGGGGCACGGTAGGAAGGGGCGGGCGGAGCTGTGGGCAGAGCGTGGAGAGAGCGCAGAGGCAGTTTCGGGAAGTTTGGGGAGGTCCAACACGGATACACCTCCCGATCCATGGCGATAACTTAAGAGTCGGAGAGCGCAGACTCGGAATGCAGGACCGGGCATGAGTGCCCCCAGGGACTCCGGAGTGCCGCGTGGTCCTCGGCCACTGGGGGTGGGGGTCGGGGTCAGGGCAGCACGTCCCCCCAGTCCGGAGAGGCCAAAGCTTCAAATTACTCCGCTCCTAATACACTCCC